TATGTTAATTTGATAAAGATTTAAAATGAAACATTTAAAAGTAAATGACGTAAAGTAAATTAATTAACTAATTATAGGGGTATAAAGTATAAATTTAAAATTGTAATTTAAAGGGGTGTTTGGGATTGCTTATCAGAAGTGCTTATTAACTTATTTCAGTCTGGCACCGGAGATAAGTCGTTTCTAGTGTTTGGGTAAGAAAAAGAAAAACTGCTTATACCGGTGCCAAACCGGTAATAAGCAGTTTTTGATAAGTTAGTTCATTGTGACTTATGAAAATCAACTTATCACCGATTTACCATTTTAACCCTCTTTAATTTCTCCAATACAGAGATCACATACATCTCATCGATATTCCTCTACACCACTTCCATTGATATCCCTTCCTTCTCTACACCAAAACTTTCATCGACATCCTCTCCCGACCTTCCATCGATATCCCTTCCTCCAGACCCTTCATCGTCCTCCAGATATCATCATCGTCCATCGATTCCTCCAAACAGATCGATACCCTAACCCCTGCTACAAACAGATCGATACCCTAATCCCTGCTACACAACAGATACGATTTCTGCAAGTTTTTTTGTTTCAATTTTTAAGGCTTTTTGAGGTTAGTGATTCACGATTTCTGCAAGTTTTTTTTGTTTCAATTTTTAAGGCTTTTCAATTATCAGAAAATAAAGCCTCAATCTTCATAAATCAGTAAGAAAATAAAAGCTACAGATCTTGCAACGAACCATAAGAAAGACATATCTTCAAATACTTCGCAGGCAAACAAAACATTAAAGGTAAAAAGGATGAAGCGATTCTTTCAACCAGTGCAGAAAGATGTTTCTTTCAAGAAACCCATTCTCTCTTCTTCTACTTCACCATCTTCAGCCAATGATGCTGAAACCAAAACACCATGTGACAGCCGTCAAATTCGAACTCCCAGGTTAGCCCTTATTAAGATTATATTAGTGTTATTGAAGGTAATTTATAAGATTAGGAGTTAGTTATGTTAGTTTGGTTGAAATTTTTTAAGAGATTCGACAGTTGCTTAGAAAGTCCAGTTCCGACCCGAAATTATCTGAAATGTCCTATACAGTACCAAATGCTCTAATTTATACTCAATATATATAAAACACTAAGTTTTAATGTTTTAAATATAAAACCTTTCTATTTAAATAAATTTAGTCATTGTGGGCTTTTAATTTGAAGAAAAATGTCAAAATTGAGAAAATTGCCTTTTGTGCATTTTGGGCTTTCTTTTTATAAAAAAAAATTATATGTGAGGGTGGGCTTAGGCCTTATGGCCGGCCTTTTCCCCCCCTCTCTTTCCCTCCCTTGGCCACATATAAAAAGCATCATTCTTCTTTATTACTCATAACTCTCCTTTCAATTTTCAAAACCTCCTCTCCTTTCTCTTCCTAAAAACTCAAGAGTCACCTTGAGTTAACATCATCATCCTCCATCTCATTCAGCCGATTTTCAA